ATGTATAGTAAAGCTATCTACGTATCGTATGTACCGTGAAGTATCGTAGGGGTGCGCACCACCCGACCTGTGGGAAAGGAAAGTGAATATAGGGAGTCCCGAGGGGACGCCGGCAGCTTGGGGAGTTTCGACCTAATGTCGCGACTTGAGGTCAAGCGACTGGAGAAAAACTTGAAGGCTGGGGGCGTCCGACTGATTCTCACCGAAGCGATGGCGAGCGAGGCTCAAACCTAAGGCTAGGGACAAGAATATATTAGTTAGTAAGGAAAGATAAGTAAGTACAAGAGAGCTTACTGACCTAGGGACAAGAGGTCGAAACTGAGGTCCCTAGGGCAGCAGAGGCCGGCTTATATACATGGGGAGATTAGGGCAGGCTGTGCGCGTTGGTCCGTGCGCAGCTGGTCTGTGCGCAGCATGCCGACGCGGCCCCGGGGGCCGGTGAGTCAGAGAGGCTGTGTCAGCGGAGCCCGAGCTGTGCCGTGCGCTGCCGCCCCATCTAATCTAATCATACAGTAGATATGATGCGTCCGTATCAGGCAGGTAGTACAGAGGTCGCGGGTTCGAGCCCGCGAAAAGGAAAAAATTAAAAAACGGCTAGACGCCGTGTCAACTCGTGACACCTGTATTCTCTTACTTACCTTACACTAACTAATACACTTTCTTGTCCCTAGCCTTAGGTTTGAGCACTGCTCACCATCGCTTCGGTGAGACTTAGTCGAACGCCCCCAGCTCCTTTTAGGTTTTCCCCTGTCGCTAGACCTCAAGTCGCGACAATCGGCCACTTATCAGTGTAATTCGATCCGCTTTTGCAGAGCCCCTGGCTCGCCAATTTCATCTTTTTCCCTTCAAGCGCCTTTGGCAATCGACATCTGCATCGCACACTGAACGTGTCTATGACGAGCTCTATACTTCTGATGCTTGGCTTCAAGCACACGACGACCTTCAGAGGCAGCCTCCGGAGCCAGGCTGTCAGCTAGAACGAGTGATTGCGGGACTGATGTTCTGGTCTGACTCAATGCGCCTTGCGAATTTTGGATCAGCAAAAGCGTGGCCGATCTATCTTTATTTTGGCAATCTGTCGAAATATATTCGTGCTTGCCCGAGTAAGCACGCAGGTCATCATGTAGCCTATATTCCAAGCGTGAGTGTTTACTCAACATTTATTTAGCTTGTATGTTAATAACATTGATCTAGCTTCCCGACAAGGTGCAGGAATTCATCAACTCTTTTCGCAGCAATGCAGGAGAGAAGAGTTCTGCGCTACTCACACATTGTTGCCGTGAACTCTTTCATGCGATCTGGAAGCACCTACTTGATGCAGACTTCGTGCATGCATACAAGCATGGCATCGTCATCCAATGTGCTGATGGTGTCTGGAGACGGGTTTATCCTCGAATATTCACATATTCAGCTGATTATCCCAAAAAGTACGTACATGAGTATATCACGTTATACGTGAACCTAATATGGCTGCAGAGTCTTAATCGCTACATTGAGGGACAATGGCCAATGTCCTTGTCCACGATGCCTCACACTTAAGACTGACCTTTGGAAAATGGGCTACAAGCATGATCTCCGCTGTCGGGAGGCCCCTGGTATCATCAGGACATGGACATCTCGTGTTCGAGATCTCGTGCTTTCTGCTCGCGAAGGCATCTACCAACAAGGTCTCGGAGTTACAAGTGCAGCCATACAGAGATTGTCGCGACTTGAGGTCGAGCGACAGAGGAAAACCTGAAAGCTGGGGGCGTTTGACTGGTTCTTACCAAAGCGATGGTGAGCAACGCTCAAACCTAAGGCTAGGGACAAGAAATGTATTAGTTAGTACAGGTAAGTAAAGGATACAAAGGAGCTTACTGACCTAGGGACAAGAGGTCGAAACTGAGGTCCCTAGGGCAGCAGAGGCCGGTTTATATACATGGGGAGATTAGGGCAGGCTGTGCGCGTTGGTCCGTGTGCAGTTGGTCCGTGCACAGCATGCCGACGCAGCCCCGAGGGCCGGTGAGTCAGAGCGGCTGCGTCAGCGGAGCCCGAGCTGTGCCGTGCGCTGCCGCCCATCTAATCTAATCTAATAGTAGATAACAACGCGTCCATATCAGGCAGGTGGTACAGAGGTCGCAGGTTCGAGCCCGCGAAAAGGAAAAATTAAAAAACGGCTAGACGCCGTACCAACTCGTGACATTACCCCCCCCTTAACAGCGCATGACCTCATGTGAGGCGCCCTTGCCCATCTCCCAACCGGAGCGGCAGCGTGCTTCAGTCAGCGGCGAAGGCATTGGCTGAAAGTTGAGACCACCAAATGTAGCAGCATTGAGTCGACGAGGGGCGTTTGGGTTCTTCCAGTGGAAGTCGGCTATAAGGGCCGGCGCATTGGCAACATTGCGCGCCGGTTCCCATGACGTATGCGAGTCGTCATAACCTTTCCACTTGACAAGGTACTGCAATTGACGCCGGAAGATCCTCGAGTCCTTGATCCGTTCAACCTCGTACTCCTCGTCGCCCTCAACCTCGATCGCAGGCGGCTCCTCCGGCTCCCGGCCCGGGATATCACTACGCGTGTACTTGCTAAGCAAGGAGACATGGAACACCGGGTGTACCGGCACCGACTTTGGTAGGATTAATTCGTAATCCAGGTCTCCGAGCTTTCGCCGCACGGCATATGGTCCAAGGCGCTTGGGACAGAGTTTCTTGCTCGGTTGTTTCAGCTTAAGGTTCCGAGCGTTGAGCCAGACCTTGTCCCCTGGCACGAAGACCAGTGCTTCTTGCATGTGCTTATCGTAGTACACTTTCATACGCTTGGCTGAAAGCTCAAGCGCAGAACGCGTATCATCGCAAATCTCCTTCAGGATTTTGAGCCGATCAGCGGCTGCAGGCATTGCCGACATCGGATTGATCCACACTTGGATCTCAGGATGGTACCCCTGATGCAGGAAGAATGGGGAGTGCCCGGTCACAGAGTGAACTCGGTTGTTCAGTGCGAATTCCGCGAGCGGCAACTGCTTTGCCCAATCATCCTGCCTGTGGCTTGTGAAGGCACGCAGGTACTGCTCGATCTCCTGATTCCAGCGCTCAGTCTGGCCGTCTGTCTGGGGGTGGAACGCTGTGGACAGCGCCGGCTCGATCCCAAGTTCCTTGTACACCACATGGAGATATTTCGAAGCGAACTGGGGACCTCAGTCTGATATGACCTTGGCTGGGGCTCCATGATGCCTGAACACATCGCGGATGTACAGGTCGGCCGCACCTTCTGCCGTCAGGGTCTCGTGACAGGCTGAGAAGTGGACCTGCTTGGTAAAGCGGTCGGCGGTGACCAGGATCGAGTCGAATCCATCGGACTTCGGCAGGCCGATGATCATATTGGTGGTGATGATCTGCCACGGGCGCTCGGGGATCTCGTTCGGCTTCAGCAGACCCTGGGGTTTGGCTGGGAATGTCTTGGTACGGTTGCACACATCGCAGGTGCTTACGTACTCATTGACGAATTTAGACATCCCAGGCCACCAGTAATTCCGCGACACAAGCTCCAGGGTTTTGGCACGACCGCCATGACCGGCGATCGGCGAGTCGTGGTGGATCTTGACTATATCCCGCCGGAGCTCTGCGTTCTTTGGGACATACACGCACCCGCGGAACAGCAGAAGTCCTTGTTCGGCATTCCACTCCTCAAAACCCCTTTGCAGCCGGGGCGGCCCGAGGTCCTGCACCTTTTCAAGTGCCTCGGCCACCTCCCGATCCTTCTCCGAACATTCCCTGATGCGCTTCAGAAGCGACTGGTTGGCTGTCACCGAGGCATGGCCGCGCCTGGCGGAGGCGATGCGGAAGCACTCGGGCTTGAGAACCACCTGATCGGTGTTATCGTCCTCATCGCCGATCTGATGGTCTGATCGTCGCGACAGGGTATCAGCCTTTCCATTCGACGTTCCGGTCTTGTGCGTGATGCGGAAGTCAAAGCGAGCCAGGAATAGCGACCATCACGCTTGACGACGCGTGAGGTGCTGGGACGTGCGTATGTCCTGCTGCGACGAACAGCTGAGGGGCACCAGGGAGTGTAATACCTTGCTCCCAGGCCTCAATCAAGTCGGCTTCGTCCCACTCTACTTCCACTGGATCTTCTTCAGGTTCGAAGTCCGGGAGTACCTTACTCCGGCAAGCGCCTATAACTGACCGTTTGGACTTCGGCGAACGCCTGCACGCCGTGGGCCTGACCCCCGTATCACGCGCAGTCGCTGCTTGCTCCATTCGACCAGTCCTTCTGGTACTGCACGTTTCCGGGCATCGCGACAATTTGAGGGAGCCTTTCTCCCAGTCAATTTCGGGGTTGTGCTCGCGTAGCCAATCCAACCCAATGATCACATCCTCTGGACCAATGTCCGTGACCGTAAACACTGTCTTCTTGACGTGTTCTCCTATGTGCATCTGTAGCACTGCTACTTCCGAGATGCTTCCGTCTTTGTTTAGGGTGCCGTCGATATTGTATAGCGGAAT